AGGGAAAGATGCTTCGTGATCTAATGCTGGAAATACTGTGCTGTTCTTGTGGTATCTGCTTTGTCTGTAAAATGTTCTACTTAGTATGAGCTTTTATTGTAATAACTACTTGAACATTTTAAGTTGACCTGCATTACGTTTTTTGCAGACAGCTCCAACCTACTTGTCTGTGTTCGTTAGGTTCTTAAAGTACTGGTGCAGTAGATATCCTTAAATACTCATGGGTATTGAGCATTTAAAAGAAAAAAAAAAAAATCAGAGATGAACTGCAGAAATCTTTAATATGCCCTTCCCTTTAATTAATCTGCTGGAAAGGGGCTTAGCATTCTCCCTCTCTTGAATAATTCCCAGAATTGAAACATGCCTTTTGTTTCTGTTTTTCTAAAAAACGTCTTAGCTTGGCAAGAACAATGAGGGGACTGCAGTAGCTGGCTCCCTTGCCATCAGGGAGCGTCACTGCAGTCAGTGGAATTTCTGTATCTTTGTATGTACTTGGTATATTTTGTATAGCTTTCTGCCTCCTTTCTCATGTTGTTTTAAGCAAATTCATGTTATTTTTACAGTGTTCAAAGAAGGATAGATGTTTCTGTTTTTTCTGTGAGGTTTTTGAAGTAGATTTCTCAAACTTTATGTAATCAGTAGCTTGCTTCTTGCTACTTTATCATGATTGTTGTCATTTGTTCATTGGGACTTCAGTTGAACTATTGGTAGATATAGTCTTAGTTTTCATGTAAGAAATACTTATTTAGAACATCCATACAAATATATAATTTGGTTTTCATTTGTAGTTGGAATAGATATAAAAATAATCTTAATGTCAAATGGAAGACATTGCTCTTCCATAAATTTTGTATACATACGTGGGTAAGTAGGTGGATGGATCAGTTTAACTCTTTATTTACCAGACTTCTTTAAAACAAATGAAAAATTTATTTTGATCACATTTAGCTTGGGTTTTTGAAAGAATAACCTTCTATTGCATATAGCGGTTTTGAAGGCTTAAAACGCCCATTAATTCCTGATTTTGAGTTATGTAGTAGATATGTCTTCTAACAGGAAAATGATTAAATATAAAAGTATACTCTTGACCACCTGTGTTCTGATACTTGGCTTGATGCTTTTTGAACTGACTGAAGAAGAAGTTACATGTAAACATAGTACTAGTGAGTGGCTGTACTACATCTGAATGTTCCTACAACCCTTTTAAATGAATTTGTGTGGTTTTGAGTCACACATGGGTTTAGTGTGCCATATGGTAATTTTAAAAATTATATTTCATAGAAACAACTGTGTCTATGCAATTGACTTTTCTTCTAGACAATCAAATTCATACACAGATATTCCAATTCACTTATCTGTAGGAGCATAGAGAAAACCTACAAATGGAAACAAACAACAAAGTATATTGCCAAAACCTGGATTTATTTACGTTACAGGTTCATTAAAATATTTTATTGGTGATCATTTAAAAAAAGCAGCATTTTTGAGGCAGTGCTCCCATGGAAAGTTTTGCTGCTTCCTATTTTTGTTTATCAGCAAAAATCCTTGAGTCTTAAATTGATACATACTGACATGTATGAACTAATATTTCACTTAAATATTCAGGAAT